GTAAACTAACATGATGGTAGTCACAAACAGCATATGGGCAAAATATTTTCATCAGGAGAAAGGCTAGGCTGAGAGAGAGACCAAGCCCGCATAGTCTTTGAAGACACTCTGGCAGGTATGGAGCTCTTTGGGATATATCTCGATTGAAGAGATGCTACAAAATGAAAAGCAAAAATTATCAAGCATGAGAGGGCAATCGGTGTGGGCGAAGAAAAGCTGAAGATTGTGAGAAGAGATGGGAAAAATGAATCATTCAACACTGAAGAGGAATCCAGTGTACAGGGACAAACTTGAGAGAATAAATAAAGATCAAGCAGGAGAGAAAAGGGAACTGATATTCAGCAAGAAGAAGAATACGGTGTCCTGACAGAAGGGCATTTCGAAAAACAGTAATTTTTCAGTTTCACGGAAGTTTGAGATTGTGTCTTCGAACTGCTTCCTTTTCATCCCCTTCAGCTTCATTTTCACGTTATCTTTAAATTTTTTTCATACATGGGCACAGCCGAACCCATCACCTGCTCTCCCCAACTACTCTTGCACTTCTTTGCAGCAGTAAACTGTAGGATGGAACTTGAACCCTGAAAAAAGCAGGCAGCTCGGCCGGGGTAGAGGATAGTGGTGGTGAAACATGTACATAGATTGTCAAAACAAAAAACCATACAACGTCGAAATGAACAAGTAGGACCCCGCCCTTGTCAGACGGTTTATGATCCTATATTCACTCACCATGTAGTTTATTGAATCTTATTTTTGCAGGAAGCCGGTCTAAACGGAATTTCCTTTCCAGACAAACAAATCACCCAAGCAGTAGCCGCAGCGAATGCATACGAAGCAACACTTAATTTAATGACTAATTAACCATGGAGCCTCTACACAACATCGCATTCTTATCATTAGGAAAAGAGCCACAGCAGTGAGGCCTTGCTCTGAATAGCTGAACATGAGACCAAGCAGCAACAACAACCCTTGCATCTTATAAACAACAAGACAGAGCTCTTCACATGGAAAGATTTTTTGGGGGAGGTTTTTTAGGTTCTTCTTCGGGAACTGAGGGTTTCTAGAGGGGAAATATGAACTTGCTTTGAAATTCATTGGCCTTATCTTCCGTTTGCGTAATATGTATTGCCGTATTCATTGTCCCTGGATTATGAGCTGTCTGAAATCAAAATTCCTTTACAGCTCCTTTCTGCAAATGTCAGCGAGGTCCAAGACTTCATTGTTTCTCACACACATCGATCAACTCCTCCTACCAAATATTCGTAACGGTATGTCAGGGCACTTTCTCACACACCACTTATTTATTTATGTATTTATGCTCCCAATGGGCTCGCTCGCATAGCGCATTACTAAAACATCACTATTAAAAATTGGACACACTAGATTGCCATACATAAAATACAAAGATATGACGTGTACCGCAGCGCCATTAGTGGCTCAATCATCCAGTATGGGCCAGCCTGAACATTTCCCCAGATAATCACTCGTACCTTTGCACATTTGTATTCATTTAATTTACGGTCTATCATAAGAAATCAAAAGCAACTTTTCTTTAGTTGAAGGATAGTTCCAAGCCTCACCTTGCAAGCTTGAGCAATGCCGAAGTGAAAAATCCCAGTTGGAGCTGTTGAATTGTACTTTGGTATTTTGTTGAGCAGTTCTGATTGGTTACATTCAACGAACACCGTACTTTCATTTCCGGCAGAGCCCATTTCATGCTTGGAAAAAATTGGCTACGACTCTGCCCATTCAAGGAAGGAACTGCTCTCTTGTTGACAAATGGACTGGAACACGTTTCCTGTCTGTAGGGAGATAATGGGCAATTTCCTCTGCAATTTTCCCAAATAGTCGAACCTCCTCCAAACACCTAGGAAGTGAACAGTGGTTTTTCCATTTTCGTTTGAGAAAAGCAAAAACCACTATTCACTTTCTGCGTGTTCATTCACCTAAATATAAAATTCTTTCTGCATTGTCTTTGGAGGGGAGCGAGAGGAAATCGAGGGTTGAACATTTCAGTTTTGGAGAATAATATTACAAAAGTCCTGGACTCAGTTTCAAAACTATGATGAACCCTTTCAAAATGGGTGAGATATTCGACTTGCGATTCGTAGAGAAAGAGGAGAATCATGAACTGTGCTTGAAGAGCTAGACTAACAGAAACACCGAATTCTCCTACGAGAATACTGTTTGACTTTGAAACGGACTAGGGAATTAGCTTTTTGAAATACCTTAAATACACAAAAAGCATAACGCTTTCGCCTTTTCAAAGTTACAGTAATAGTTATAATTCGTTATATTTACTTTATAAAGTGAAATGGGAGACCTCAGCTATTCCCCCAGTTGTTCGGTCAGTTCTGTTGAGGGGTAAAAAGCTAAGGGGGGAAACTGCACCCAAGCTTCTAACCGTCGACTGTTACGACCAACGAGGAAATGAGGTAGGTAATGGCGAGCTACACCAAAAAAAAAACAATAGTGGAGAATAGTTACTACGGTTTGTACAATTGTGACGAGTTGTGCTACTTCACACAACTATACTCCCCTTCTCCCACTATAAACATTTCCGTTGGAAACGATTTGGCCCCCCTTCCATCCCAACTACTTCTCACTGCATGACGACGAGATTGGTGACATCCACCTCTGCTTGCCCCTGTCGTTTATTATGATTTCGATTGCTTTGAAGTAGAGCTTAGACCTAACCCACTTATTTCCTCATCAGTAAGGACTCAAATATCTTAGAGGGAAGCTTCCATATAACTGCTCGATACTTTATCCCTTGTTATTTTTTATTTTTTTGCTTTTCCACTCGTTTTTAATCCACTCACATCTTGAACTAATCATACTGTTCGAGGGTCATCCTTTCTTGGATCAACTCTTTATCGCCCAATTGCTCCAAAACCGCGACAGCAGAATTGGGGGGACGGTACATTCGTGCAATTCGGACTGCGCGCTGCAAATTGCGCGGCGAAATTCATAACAATTTTGACGAATTTAGCGCCCATTATTGGGGCTCAAATCTTAAGTAGAGTAGATTAGTAGCGTCAGCTGACTACTTAACTATTCTATTTCACGTTTGTTCCCCAATAATAAGCCCCTGAGTCGTTCGAATCGCCACGAATTCTGCCGCGCAATTTGCCGCGCATGGTTGAAATCGCACGGATGTACACACACCCGGCAGAATTGGGGGGACGGTACGAACGTGCGTCCGAGGGTGCGCGCGGCGAATTGCGCGGCAACGTTCGTGACGATTTGTACGACTGCCGAGCCAATTTTCGGGGCACAAACTCGAAGTAGTGTAGTTTAGTAGGGTCGGATGATCCTCCTAACCCGCTCTATTTGAAATTTGGGCCCCAATGGTAGGCGCCAAAGTCGTTCAAACCATTGCGAACTTCGCCGCGCAATTTGCCGCGCGCATCCTCGGACGCACGTTCGTACACATACTCGCAGAATTGCCGTCGTATCTAATGCTTTATGTGCAACTGTAGCCCAGCATCTATTCATTAACCTTATTTACCGCACATCCTTCATTTTCCGTGTCTTGAATCCGTTTGTCTGTTCGAATTTCGAAGTTTCCTTAGTTGGAAAGAGCATCCTCCGAATTCTGCAGAATTTCTGTAGACAATTCAATTTACTTCACGGCATAATCTCATTCGAATGCCAAAATTCTCGGTACTATTCTACTATTACACCCCCAGAAACTCAAAATTTTAATTTTCAGTGAAACTTAGCCTATAGGGGTAATGCGATGCCCTTATAACGGATATGACCTTCATTTTTGGCGTTGGCGCCGTTTGGCTCCAATTTGGCGCCAATTGGAGCCAAATGGCGCCAGCGCC